ACATCAACTTACAACTGTCTACCCCCTCTGTGGACCCTCTGAATTCGTGGGTATACTTTTCTTCCGTCCTCAAGTTCAATCTCCTGCATTGTTTTATTGGTAATCCAATTTTGCGGTTCTCAAGACTAAGAAATAAGCTTGCCTGCTTGCTTGCTCTTCCCTCGTCAACTCCTCACCACTGTGCTCAGTAGATCCTAACAGACAAATCTATGCCTCTCAGCTTGTTTCTTAGTCTCTCGACTTTTTCCAACTCATTGTCAGTGTTTCTAATCTTTTCCGACCTGCTCGGTGCTCAGACCTATAGCTTTTCAGCGGCGTTCTGTTTTTATACGCTTTTTTCCTATTTCTGAGATTTCTTTCTCATTGGCTCGCTTTTCTTCTTTTAACGTATTTTCTCCTTTTTTAACCCTCTCGTGCGCGCGTTCACGCCTCCACCCTTAGTCCCTAGCCTATAAGTGGGGCCTCTCTACTTGCCACACAACTAACGGTTTCCCAAAATAAGCCCTCGCAGATCTTTCTATAGTCCAATGATTTTGAGGTTTGGCATGAAGGATTCAACAACTCCGGGCGTCTATCGCCCCCTCCCGCGCGCTCCGCTCGCTCTCGATAAAACTGTTTCAATTATTCCTGAACTTTCTTTTTCTTTAACCTTGCCTTATAATGTCTGTATCTTCCAATACGAGTCATTTACGTTCTCCCAATTTCCCTCGGACAGCCTCGTCCGGTATGATTTGATACTTGGATATTTCTTATCTCTAACACCTGCATGATCTGACTTGTATTTTGGTCTGATGATTTCCGGGGAATGGTATCACTGCCATAATGTCCCTCAGTACATAGACCATAATCTGAGCCTGCATTTTGTTACCTTTGGTTTCCCTCCTGGCCCATGTGTATCTGTTTTTCGTCCTTCCTGAAATTGCTTCCATAATCTACAATTCTTTTTGGTATTAAGTGATCAGAACGTGCATCTCTAGCCTCTTGGGTGTATTTATGTTCCTGTAATTATGGTTCATTCCTGAATCAGGGTTCAATAGCCTAGATTCCCCACATCTCCACATATCACTGTTCACTTTCATTTCCAATATCTTCTAGTTAATTCTCTCTGAAATTTTGCTATTGTGGAAAGGTTTAGGCGCCTCTTCGTTTTAGGGTCCATACCAACGTTGAACTAGCGTGTAAATGAATTTTCTCCTACTGTAATATCTAAGAAGTACTTAATTGCGTCTGGGTCTCGCTTTTTAGTTCTGTCTGTCATTAGTACTTATTCAAAGTTATTCGTTTAAAAGTATTGCCACTCCTCTCTCCGCGGCCCGTGCATGTAAGGGCAACACTCATTGGCCCTCAACGCCCCCAATTAGTTCGGCTCGAGTCTATCCAGTCTTATCCAGTCGAACTCATCGTCGTATCCTGTCGACATGCGCTATATTTACTTTTAGTTTCTCTTCTAATCTTCCACAGAAATCTCTCTAGTTGGTTCACACTTCACCGTAACCGCCTAAAATTTTCATAAGTTTCTATATATCATTTTCTTCTCATATATAGTGCTTCAACCTAAACACAAGGTATCCTTCTTGGAATTACATCAAGTTGTGCTATACACAATGGATCTGGACAGTACTTTAGATTCGACGGTAAACGTACACAAGAGCACAAAAATAACTCAAATTGTGCTCAATGCGCACCAGAATGGATGCATGAGCATCCCTATCCTCACTAACTCAGGGTACGGATTTCTGGCACTCATAGCCCACCCTCGCACACCGCCCAGGTCTACACCCCTCGCACGGGTAACACCGGACACACCGCACGCTTACGGACGAGGGACCTCTCGCCCTCGCCGTTGGTGAGCCGATGCACCCAACACCGTGCCGCATGACTCTTTGCCACGGGTCGGCCCTTTCGGTTTTATCACACGTGAGTCGGTACCCGGCAAGGCACGCTGCCAGGTCCCCTGCAACAATGATTAATGCGACGTCACAGAGACACGACCATTTGACAGAACACCAAACCTATGCAAGATTGATGGCACCCAGTGACAGGGACCTCTCACCTTGGTTGGGATCCTGTATAGACATACACATGCCTACTAATAATAACACCATCCACCTTACAACTACGAGCTATCCACCGTTCATCTACCTGTGTTGCAGCCCCGCCCCACGCCTCCCGACGCCATGGCACGTCAAGCTGAGCGTTTGCATGGCGTCCCGGCTCGCTCCCGTTGGCGTACGTCCGGCCTCCCGCCTCTAACATTTCGCGCTACGGTCGCCGCCACCCGAGGCCTCACTCGGGCGAAGAGGTTCCTGACCCCACCAATCGATTCTGACAAATGAGTATAGTTCGCTCTCCCCCTCCCTCCCATCGCCTCCGCATCCCTCTCTCCACCCCCCGCTCCCCCTCACTCTCTCTCGCGCCCCACACCCGCTCCGCTCCCCCGCTCCACCCCCTCCTCCCCATCGCAGCCCCGCCCCCCCCCCCCCCCCCCCCAACCACCCCCCCCCCCCCCCCCACCCCCCCCCCCCCTCCCCCCCCCCCCCCCCCCCCCCCCCCCCCCCCCCCCCCAGCCCCTTCCCCCCCCCCCCCCCCCCCCCCCCCCCCCCCCCCCCCCCCCCAAAAAGAGCATTATCTTCCTAAGGACAAAAGACATGAGGACAACTTCGCAAGCAACCACACCCTCTCTCCAGCCCTCCCTCCCACCGCCACCTCTCCCACCCCCGCCTCCTCTCTCGCCTCCTCTCTCTCTCCCCCCGCGCTCTCCCGCGCTCGCCCCCCGCGCCGCCCGATGAATAGGGCTGGGGTTTTGATCATGAAAAATATGCCAAATTAGCGCTGTGACGCCGGGGCCGTTTGGCAGCTCGCTAGGGCCCGTACCTAGGCATGGTCTTTGCAGCGTTGGACTAGCAACCCAGCCTGGCTGCTGGGCCCCCCGCGGCCGGCCCCTTCCCGCGCGCTGCTCCCCCACCTCACACTGCTGTTCCCAGCGCGCGCCTTCGTCCTTCTACGCCCAAGGGTTTGCTTGACCATATTCTTAATGCAAATTTCTGCTCTGATGAAAGCTTCATTATGTTTTTTCCTCATATTATTTTATTTATTGATCTATTATGTACTATATAGATTCTATGCTACAGAACAACCTCAACGGGCTATGGCTTTATAGCGCCTTCTACAGTCCAATTTGTGATTTATTTTGGTTTATATATTATTTATCATTCTATATATTATACTTAATTTATTATTTTCACATAAAAAATCTACACATATATATTATCAAGAGTATCATAATGGGATTTCTCCCAATATTACTCTTTCGCTTTTCTTATACTGATTACGTCGATTGTTGCTCAATTAAAACTTGACTTCTTCTCACCTCATTCATTTGTGTCGCTTTCTTATTAGCTCTCTGAATAGTCAGATGAGCTTTGTAGAATCGCCATGATCGTCCGTCGTCGGTCTGGTCAACGTTGGCACAAATCTTAACGCCGCGTCGACGTACGGTCACGATCATTCGGGTCAGTTGGGCGGCCCGCCCTAGGGGGGATCGTCAACCGATTGGGATGTCGAGTCTCGGGGGTCAAGGTCAAAGGCGTCAAGAAGAGGTTCTTTGCTAAAAGGAAGGGGGGAAACCATCCCCCCTCCCCGCTCCTCCACTTACACCCCGCCGCGCCGCTCAACTAGGATGAAACTGGCCAGAATTGCCGGCACCACAATCTAAACGGCTCGAGCTGGCTCCCTGTGCCGTCCAGTCGCTCGCCCGTCCCGCCCCACCTCCGGGCGCTCGCTATACGCATCATGGTGGAAAGCGCATCACTATGACTGAAATTGGCCAGGTCACCACGGTCACAAGGTAGGAGATGGGCCAGGCAGATTTTAGCAGTTTCCTTGAGGACATGGTCTGACGGCTAATGCGCATGTGAAAACTTTCTTAGGGTTTCATGCCGGCTTTGCCCGTTTGACGTAGCCATTTTTTGGGCTTTATTGAAAGACCATGAACTGTTCCTCTTGTGACATGCGAAGACGCTCCGTGTCGGCATAACTTTTGCCCTCGCAAGGGAGGGGTTAACGTGATTGTTGACTGTTGAACAAAAGAGTGAACTGCTCTTATGCTCATTAGCGCCCCTCCATCCGCCCCGAACCTTTCCCCACCTCCTTTCTCCCCTGCCCCACCCCCCCCTCCCCCCTCCCGCCGCCCCTACCCGCCCGGCCCTTCCCCCACCTCACCCCACGCCCCCCTGCCCCACCCCTTTCCCCCTACCCTCCATCTGCGATACGTGGCGCGTGTCCTAACAATGATGTACGTACGCCACCTGCGTGTCTGCATTCTGCGCCTAACAAATGTGGGTACTACGCACGACTGAATTTTACCGTTTATAATCGCTAGCACCGACTCAGATAGGAGCCAGACGCTCTGCGGCTCTGGTGTTGTGGTGAGCTACAGTGTCATTGACACTTTCATTGATAGTACTGATCAGTAGTATGTCAGTAATTCCTCGCGTTACAACAACGTAAATTCGCTCATACTCAATATGTAATTTTACCAATTTATGACCAATTCACTCACGATGCGAAACAAAAATTTGCTCTCACGTATTTTTTCAAAAGAATAAGTGGGTATTTATACTGGAAAAATGGTCTGCCCAATCGGCAAAATTTTATAAAATATAGGTACAAAGTGTGCAGCCAGCTGCCAACACGTCAGGCATGTCAACATAAATACATGTAGCATACTGTTATCACTGTTAGATAGCTTGACTTACATATGCACTGTATGATAAATTTGCTTACCACTATTCAATGATATTTTGTGTTTTGATATGATTTTTGATTAGGGAATTTTGTTCAGGGGGCATGCTTATGCATTTTTACAGTTTCTTTTTTCAATGTTGTTACAATGGTTTGTAGTTCAATTGATTGTTTACATGTCTACCTCTGCCATATATGTTACAAATTGGTGCAAGTTACAAGGTTGTGACAATGATCGAAAGGTAATTTTGTTTCAGAAAATGTGTCTTGTCATGAGATTCACATAGGGATACACACGTTCATCTAAAACTAATAATAACTTAGCATGGACACCACAGCTGAGTAAGTAATAGCATCAATATATTATGGCAATTTACATCCACAGTAATGTTAATATCATATATTCAAGTGCTGCTGCAAGTAATACTATAACAAGCATTTTGTTATGGGAACATAATAATGTACAATCATAGATCTTTGTTTAATATTATCAGGAGTAGATAATAGAAGACTTCTATATCTTCTATTATCTACTCCTGATATTATCATGTTGCTGGTAAACAATTTACTGTGTCGTGAGGACAGTTCTAGAACCACTTTAATTGTATCCCCCGCGACGAAGTCGGCGGGGATACAATGGTTTCACGTTTGTCCAGCCGCCGCTCGCCTCCGCCGCCGCTCGCTGCTGCAGACACTTTCCCTTCCGCTCTATAACTCGACCCTTAATTGACCTAGTGCGACCAAACTTGGTATACTTACACATCTTGGGGAGAAGGTGTGTCGTGTACCAAAACCAGGTCACTGCAACTTTTCTTTGACCTTGACCTTGATCATATTTTCTTTCCGCTCTATAACTTGGCCCCTAATTGACCTAGCGTGACCAAACTTGGTATACTTACACATCTTGAGGAGAAGGTGTGTCGAGTACCAAAACCAGGTCACTGCGACCTTTATTTGACCTTGACCTTGGTCATATTTCCCTTCCGCTCTATAACTCGGCCCCTAATTGACCTCACACGAGCAAACTTGGTATACTTACACGTCTTGGGGAGAAGGTGTGTCGCGTACCAAAACCAGGAGATATTTCATTCATACTAGATCACGGGGATACATGTGGTTGGCGACAATTGCCATTTTTAGTTCATTTATATGATGAAACATTTTTGTCACAAAAGTGTGCCGCATTGATTACATATGTCAAATGAATGGTTAAACAGTGTGTGTGTGTGCTTTTGATTTCACTCATCAAATAGCGAACTGAGGGAGAGGCTGCAGAAAAGAAGGGCTGCTCTGAGGCAGTCGGCCATTAACGACACTACCTTTGACACCGAGGCAGAGACATCATATTCAAGCAAACATGTGAAGGATGAAACATGGGTGAGAGTCAAAAATGAAATCCACCACAAGGATGATGATGAGTGTACAGTTAATTGCATGCTTCCTTGGCCAGTTGTTAATATATATATATATATATATATATATCAGGAGTTAATAATGACAAAGGAGTAAGACATCTCTTTGGTACTGATTTCACTACATTTTTGTCGTACGAGTTTGATGTGAATAAAAATACAAATGTATACAAACATGAGCTTCTTTTGTTCACTAGTCCTTATTCTATCTTCCGGTAGTATTACAAACCACGTAGCTTCCTTCGTTTTGACATAAATCATACATTTGCACGACATGGTTTTCACGTTGTCGTGTGTGGCGAGGCCAAGCGGTAAATTCGCATACACAGGCTACAACAGCAACTCGAAGGAGGCACGGCAGGGAATTTAGGCCGTATAGTCTAGCCGAGTGCAGAAAATGCGCTTAGAAATTAAGTTTCGTTGTGCCCATGCTGGGTTTAAAAATTAAAACTATTTTACATTTAAACTATAGTTAGAATGCCTTGTTTTTATGGTTGAATCCAGCAGTTTAAAAAATAAATAAACGCTGCGCTGGTAAAATATCTGAACTACTTCACCCGCGGAGGAATAATGTGTATGAATCGTTCTGAGTAAACTGACGCTCCAGTCGATAGTAGCTTTTCGCACATGTTTTGCATAGCAACCGTTAGCTCTAGTAACTATAGCCCGCGTACAGTTGCCGCTGGCGCTGCCTGAGGCGATCCCTGCCGTGCCTCCTTCGAGTTGCTGTGGTAGCCTGTGTATGCGAATTTACCGCTTGGCCTCGCCACACGACGGTGAATAACGTGAAAACCATGTCGTGCAAAAGTATGATTTATGTCAAAACGAAGGAAGCTACGCGGTTTGTAATACTACCGGAAGATAGAATAAGGACCAGTGAACAAAAGAAGCTCATGTTTGTATACATTTGTATTTTTATTCACATCAAACTCGTACGGCAAAAATGTAGTGAAATCAGTACCAAAGAGGTGAGTCAGGTGTCTTACTCCTTTGTCATTATTAACTCCTGATATATATATATATCTCAAAAAACCGTATGAAATGTGCTTTTTAAAATTTACTCGGAACTAAGAGACACAAAGTGGACAGTTTTGTACTATATCAGTCAGAAATATTATCATTTTAACTACTCAACATTATTGCTTTTATCAGATTTTTTTTCCCACGAAAAAAACTGTTGTCAGTACATGTATTTGTATCTGAATTACATGCAATAAAGATTTAAGAATAATAATATTAATAGTTCGACTGGAAACCGCAAACTTAGTCTTTTTGTCATAGTCGACAATAATATGCAATGAATTGGTTTATCTTATAGGATACCACCATAGAGACATTGGAGCAAGAGAATGCACAACAAATAGAAGAGGAAAATTCACTTGTGAAGGATTTACACTCAAAGCACAAGAAAACACGCAAAGTAGTAAGTGTGACACAGGAAATGATCATGTCGCAAAGTTTGTGCAATCGTCATAGAGCATATAGTATCATAGTAACTGTAAAGTTTGTACAGTTGCAGTACAGCCATATGCACCCATATAGTAGAATAGTAGCTACTGAATTTAGAATATGCTTCGAGAAAATGATTATGATTATATGCCAGCTTGTATTATTTTATACAAACAAAAGGTAATCTACCAAATAAACATGCTTTGCTAATGTTTAAAACAGCGTATGAGTGCCCTATCGATATGAACGTCTAGTTCAGACTTCACTTTAGATACAACGAAAGTAAAGCTGCCATTACTATGAATCGTAGCTGTATAATTGATGCTGGGTGCTTTGTCCTAGTTATCAAAGACATTGGTCACTGATGAGGAAGCAGACATAACCAGTGAGCTTGAAAAGGTCAAAGACAAACTCAGGCATCACAAAGAAGAGTCACGTGTAGAAGAGGAACTGGCAACACCAAGACTTCTAGAAACAACGGAACATACGCTAGAGATACCTGTGATTACTCCGAGGAAAAGCCTACCCTCTTCTAGAGATGGTAAATATTACACTGCATATCTCAATGAACCTGTCAATCTATTCAATTGGTTTATGGCTATTGAAACACGTATGTGGTCATAACTGTATATCTGCAGTGAATATGTGCAGCAAGCGCGTAGCCAGGGGGGGGGGTCCTGGGGCCCTAGGACCCCCCAATCAAAATCAAAATTTTTTTTTTCTATTTTCTTTTTCTCTTAAAAGCGCGTAGCTGCCTAATCCTGATAATCCTAATAAAAAAATTAACGTAAAAAAATTGGCGTAGTTAGGGGGGCCAAAGGGGGCCATGGCCTCCTTGTTGATCCGAAAGTTAAAAGAAAATAAGAAAATAGGAATTGTTCCACTAAAAATAGAATTGTTGTAGTCAGAATGAAGGCTGTACATGTACTCAAAAGTGCCTCAAATACCCTCTCCTGCGATCTACCTTTTTAACATTTTCTGGGGGAGCTAGGACCTCCATACCTCCCGCCTGTTTTAACCCTTCTACTTGGAATCTTGGATTGGCCACGGCATTGGTGTCGTTGTAGAGCTGCAGAAGAAATAGTATTGTCAACGAAACAGCATCTAAATTGATTTTAAAGCACTATTTTTAGCTCATCTGACATAGTCAGATGCAGCTTGTAGAATCGCATGATCGTCCGTGCGTCCGTGCGTCCGTCCGT